AAGGGCAGTGCTGCTGATCAAACAGCCGTGTTTGTTTAAGGCACTGCCTGTCTGGTTTTACAGAGTGATGCTTAGCACCTCTCATCCGCAGCCTGAGGGGGCTTGGAAAAATTTATGAGCTTACACCATTGTTGTCATCTGTCAAAATATCAAATCCACACAGCTGAGCAGGTGGAGAAAGTATTAGGGTTGCATTTTTCTCACCCTTCACCCATAGGAAATGCACAGAAAGTAATGAGAGAGGAAAGGCAACAAACACACAGTTTAGCAGGTGTTAAATCTTCTGTATGACACTTAAGTAGTTAGCTGCTTTAAAATAAAAACTGCACAGCACAGTAGAGTCACTTAGCTTCCCAGCAAATCAAGCACACATACAGCCTTTCAAACCACAGAAGTTCAAGAAGCAAAGTTATCCTCTCCCACTATTTCTAATTTTCATTTCACTATTAAACATGCTGAAAGGATGCTGAGCCTGCCAACACACTTGAAAGCTATCATACCTACCAGAAAAGTCTTCCAGCCTTTATTCATGTAACAACTATCACCATTATCAGCAAGTGCATTGTTAAATTAACATGCTGCTATTTTAGAGTATGATTAAAAAAAACATACCACCATTAACTTCCTAGTGCAGATGCAGGCAGCTTGTTCAACCCCATGCCTAAGGTTTCCTACAGGATTACACAGTCAAAACCAACTCAATTTTTCACCTTTTGAAGTTAGCATCCTTGATGCTTCCTGTAGCTGACACTGGTTCTGTAACTTCCCAGTTAGCTCTGCTTAGCAAGACTGATTCTGAAAGTCTTTAGCTTCAGTTACGAGTTAGTACTGCCTGCAATCTTGTATTTCCTTTTATTCCCTAATTTACTGCATGTGCACACAATTGTGCTTTGTAGTATTTCTGTACAGACTCACAGATAGCACCTCTTCAGTATGACACCAAGTCTTTAGTAAAAGGAGAAACAGATCTCTCCAGGTGTCTGTGTGTGGCAGGCAATTGCCTAAACCAACTGTAAGAAATCTAAAGCCATCTGCTATCAACAGTCCTGCTCAACTTTAGTAACCAAGAGGACAGGTTACTCTTTTGTAATATAATTTACTTCTGAAAGCACGAAGCTGATATATCTGACCCTGGAAAAGAAGGCAAGTTCTTGGATACTCATGCAGAAGCACTGCATTAAAGTGAAAAGTAAGATTTTGGTATCATTTGCTTTGCCATCCTTACCAACACATTAAGAGGTTTCCGTTGCAACAGCTGTTAGTCTACACAGATGCCCAAGAATGAACTACCAACGTCTTCCAACCTGGTCCCCTGGGGATTTTACTTGACATCACTGGAAACATTCCTCCTACTCCAATGGAAGTTTGGTGACTAGTACTACAGAAGTGAGATGCATATATTTTGTCAAAGAAAGACTTCAGTAAAGGCCAGGATTAATAAAACAATCTAGAAGGACTAGAAATAGCCACATTTAGACATTTAGCAAACCAACTCTACTGATGGCTCTGAAATACAACAGGGACCAGCTGCAGAACACAAAGATTAAAAAAGAGGAATAAAGCAGAAACACTGTTACTCTGCACTGTTGAGAACAAGCAAGGAAATACACACACAGGGGAAGCTGGAAAGCAGAATCAGCCTCTCTGCTGATTCTCATATAAATCTGCATGGAGACAAGAGACATAATTTAGATGTAATCTAAACACTAAAGAGTTAAGCTCTGTGAACACAAATACAATCAAGTGTCATGGAAGCAAAGAGACAACACCCAGGAAAGACCAAATGTTCAGCATCTTTAATCCTGTCCTAAACATATTGTGTTCTTAGATGCAAGAACATTCCCCCCCCCAAAAAAATAGCTCACTCTTAAGGGTGAACTATCAACCAAGGCTCAACAAGGCAAAAAAAAAATTATTGACTCTCTTGAAACCACTCAGCAGCTTCCCAAAGCTTTATGGGTTCCTTCATCCAAACTCCTCACTTGGTTGCCTTCTCCTCCAATGCCACCACAGAGGACAGTCAACTGCTGCAGAGCAGGTAAGATCATCCCTCACCGTACTCAAAAGCTTCCAAGCAACCCGACTGCACTCACAAGAGCTCGGTGACAAGTAAGATAAGGCACCCCCCAAGTCACGAGCCTCCAAAAGCAGCGGGCAGCATTCGAGGCAGCACAGTGAACACTGAAGACGTCCTGCGGTGCACTTGCCAGTTTACGCTCTGCAGCCTTCACAACACTTCATAATTCGTGAATATATCCTGTTACATCATTTCTCATGTTCTCTCATAGAAAAGCACCATCAGAAGCAAATTGGTTTTCTGCTCCCTCCCTAAGGCAGACACTCAAGCAGACAAACTCAGAAGGCTGATTTTAAAGCCCGTGGCTGTACTAATACTCACTATCCTGGCTCATCTTTGTCGCTCTTTTCTGGCTGTGCAGTCTGCCAACATTTCCCCATACTGGCAAGGGCTGTGGGCTCTGCTGGGGCCAGCTGAAGTCAGGTGCCTGTTACAACACCTTGCTTCTAGCCCTGTGATTGTACAATCACCAGCACAGAGTTGTAACTGAGAAGCCTTTTATGCAAAGACGGGATTTACAGCCGTTACACCTGTTATCTTCTGACTGTTGAGAGGTAAACTTGAACGCAGTCCTGAGCAAACATCCTGCAAATCACTGCTTTAACCTCTGCCTACCGAGACAGTTCCACGTAAGGAGCTGAATAAGCAGCAAAATAAGCCTGAGAAAACAAGAAGTTAGGGCTGCTTTTTGGTGTGTTTTTTAGGGTGGTTTGTTTTGGTTTTTTTTCATTTACAAGCTAGTTCCTGGTCTTTTTCACAGCCTGGCTAGGCAGACAGTTGTGTTACTGTAACGCATCAGGATGCTGCAGCGGAGACAAAAAGCAGGAGCTGCAGCCCCACAGCCAGCCTTGTTCCCAGAGCTTTTGTAGTTTCACAATGCATTTAACCCTCTCACAAGGGGAAGTTACATCCATATTAACCTTCCCAGGGCAAATCCTCATCCATTAGTTATTTCTCTAGCTGCTGTGGACTTGTCCCTCAGCTACAGCTCTTTCTGTTTGGTTAGTAAGAGTCAGGAAGACTGGAAGCTGGGCAGTGTGTAAGAAGTAGCTGGAAAGGAAAAGATTCTCTACCTGATGCAGGAAGGGATGTTAAGATCACAGCTTCCTTTCATTTCATAGGAAGAAAAAAAAAAAAGGCAGTCTGAGAACAGAGCACTTAGCGGTGATGCTTTCTACTCTTGAATATAATACAGCTCTCTCCAGGTACAGATATTCAGGAGAGGATTACCCAGAACTACTCTGCTTAATTAAATGCATGTGGGAGATTGGGACAGGCTACTCAACTCCCGGAGAACCCACACTGGAGCAGAAAAATCTCAAAAAAAACCTTGAGGGAACATGTGGCTCTGCACACAAAACTGCCAGCAAGATAACAACAAGCTTCAATGGGCAGCAATCTCATCCAGGTTCAGCACAGAAATTCATGCTCAGAAACTATCTGTAAAAAAAAAAAATCCTTGTGCTAAAGTCTGGCAGACTTAGAGACCTCCTGAGTTTTACAATCCCAAAATGAGGGAAGTTTCTCCTAGTAGAGAGAGGATCATTCTGCAACACCCTATGAAACCTCATCTCAAACCGTACAGCATGGCTAAAGGAAAGGAGGAAAGAGGATGACCACCACAGCCCAGAGTCTATTTCCAGATGTGAACCTGAAAACCTGGTTTGATCTGAAAGGTAAAACAAATGCCAAGGCAGATATGCCATTCCTGGGGGATGTTAGGACACAGCGTTGGCACATGAGTAAGTTAATGCTGGAAGTTACATGCAATCTTATTTCAGAAGAGTCAACAGTCGAGAAACGAAAAAGAAACCAAACGTGAAAGCCACCCTTTAAGCTGAAGCACAGTGAACTTACAAAAAGGACTGACCCATTTGAAGCTCCCCGATGCCAGCCACCAGCACAGTTGAGCCTTTTCATTCCCTTGCATCGCCCTGATGCAGTTCTGTGGCAGGCTCGAAACGTGTCCTCCAGAGAGCACGACATACTCAGCTCCTTCCTGATTCAAACTCAAATATCCTTGCTGACAGTATTTGCACCCCTCATGCCCTAACAGGAACTTGCCTTTTACTGTAAGAGGGAGCAGAAGGGGGAATTCCCCAGCTTCCCAAGCTGTTTTCTTACTGTTTGTACCGGGCATGGTCCTTAGTAGAAAGAACGGGAAGAAGAAAACTTAAGTAAAATAAGTTTTGCAGCAGGATTTACCCTGCGCTGGAACTCAGACACAACTTTGGAGCTGCTGGTGATGAGAAGAACGAATCGCACCCAGCCCCTCTCCTCCTGCCCTCGGGGAGCGCTGGCTGATAGCCAGCACCTGGGACAGCCGGGGCAGCGATGGGAGCCCGGAGCCCCTTCCTACACTCACATTTGCCCCTGGGCCCTGAGACAAGGGGACAAGCATGTCTCCAATATCCTCTTCTCTCCTTACCTTGTTTCCTCAGGTTTCGCTCCCGCTTTCGGAAAAACCTCACCCGATAAAAGCACCAGCAGATCGGTGCTTTTCTGAGAAAATTCAAGCCATCTCCGTCTGCTAAGGGCAAGAAATCATTTCTAAGCTCCTCCAGAGCTGAGCCCGGCTCAGCCGGGGCTGGGTTCCTGTGCCTCGGCCTGGGGAGTTCCGCGCTTTAAGAGAAAGGGAAACAAAAGTACTTGCCCCGTCCACTCAAACCAGAAGCGCACAAATTTATGACAGAACGCGAACTCTTACCAGCGTGGAGTTAAAAAAAAAAATAAATGGTAACCATCACAAACGGGGGGAAGGATGGGCGCGGGGGCGGACACCCTGACGGGGCTGCAGACGGCCGGGACGGCCACAGGACATGCCCGTTGGAAAGAAATACAGGAAGAAACCCGCCCCCGCGCCTGGTACGAAAGCTCCGGAGCAGCCCCCGAGCCCGCCCGCCGCCGGGGCAGCGCTCCTTACCGGAGATGGTCTCCTGGTAGCCCTTGGTGAAGAACTGCATGGCGGTGGCCGCCCTCCAGGGCGTCTTCAGCAGCCCCTG